TGCATCGAAGTAGTAGAAGACTTTTTTGTTTGCCCATATGGGATAAACTTTGGAAGCTTGTCGCTTTTGACGAATTGTGCCATTATCCAGTTTTGATTCGAGGGCAGCAAGCTGCTCCCTGCAAATATATTTTTAAAGGAGGAACTTTGAGCTTAGAAGGTAATTCCTGCCACTGGAAGTCTCCCTAGAGGTTCGTCGCAAAACAGCTGGCTTAGTGTTCGAACCTACTCTGTAAGATTGATATCACCTTCGTACAAGTAATCAATGACGCCTTCGATGCGATTCTGCTCAAGGATTGGACCACCTCCATAGAAAGAAGCCAAATTCGCTTCGATTGATTGCTATAACAATCGATATACTTTGTTACTGGACATTGGAATAATCGCCAATTGAAAGGCGTACTAACATCCTTAACAGTGTTGGTTGACGTAGACGCTGGTGAAGTGACCACATCAACAAGTCGCAGGTTTCTGAGTCTCTCGCGACGTTGCTCAGGATCGGCTCCTCGAAATGCCTGAAAAATCTCCTAACTGAAGCTGATGACAGGGCCTAGGAAGTTTTACCTGCGTCAAGGAAGCCCTTGCACTATCCGTGAGAGCAAAGCCGCCATCGAGAAGCAACATGAGCAAAGAGACGAACGCAACACATTGGCTTTGCTTCGAGTTCATTTCTTTTCGGATTACTTGAAAATACCACCAGAATTAAAAACTTCTAATGAAAAAATGGAGTAGAGGGCGGATGCAGTTCAATGCTTGAGCTCGTTGGGAGAGCATCACTTACTCTTATATATGATGCCGCTCAGACCGACCGATTCATTGAAATTGAGACATTAATATTCAGGCTTTCTACGGTCAGTATGCTCTCTCACCTTGCCGTAGACCATGTTCAATCCGATCAGAATATTTTGACCGCCGGCACTGGAGTGTTCACTTCCGTCACAGTAAGTCGCTAATGGGATTAGCAGCTTAGCATTTTTATACTGCAGAACAAAGAGTAGACCAAAGACTATACCTGTTTCAGCTCCTTGTAAGTATGACGTTCTACCCATTACCCAAACCCACAATTTCTTGGAAAGACTTACTCGAATTTTAGCCACCATTCTTTCTATTAACGTCTTGTTTTCTCATCTTTGCTCCGTAATCATTGAAAGCACACAAAAGAAGACATAATGCGCGGTCGGCCGTCTTTATAATACATCTTGTCTACTGTATACTGTTATACGGATCTGTTCTTTAGTGGTGGAGCTTCGGGATCAGAAATGATCGGCTTCTGTGGAAGAGTAGCTAATGTTTAAGCCCCGAGAAATTCGATGTTGTCTTGCATTTATATATTATGTATTGATACAATTACGATCTCGATGGATCTGAACTGGCGCTTTGAACAGCAAGTATTTGAAGCGACTGACATTTCCAGGCCTCAAACCATGACCATTTTTTCATATGGACAAGATAGGGAGCATATTGTTTGTTGTATTGCTTCTAGGTTCGGGAAACGTGCTTGCAATCGCTATCAATGGAGTCCATTGTTTCAAAAGTCCCATCTTCAGATAACCTAACTGAAATTGTACAGAAATCCAATCTCGTAACAAAAGGAACAGCTTAAAGCTTTGTGTAGCTATTTCAGTTTCAAGAAATTTTCGTGTCTTGTTGGAAAGATGAGAAAAAAATCTACGACGAAGAGAATTGTAT